CACACAGTCTCTCTCTCTCTCTCTCCCGGGCATACACAGAGTCTCTCTCTCTCTCCCTCTCTGCGGGGCCACTGTTGACACGTCTGAAACTGCCTTGCCGTGTTGAATGCATCAGGCCGAGGCAAGAACCTCACCACCACCCAAGAGCACAATCATACAAGAGAGATTGTCTTTGGATCCGCATTTAATCGCCTGTGCAACGTGAAGCAAATCACCGCATGTCAGACCAACCCCTGAAGAAAATCCGCCTCGTGGCATACGGCAATCGCAGCCTGTGAGTCATGTTGATAGTCGCTGCCGAATGATGTGATCGCAGCAGCACGCAGCAGCCCTAGCTCTCTGTTGGAGGCCTGAGCTGGGTCAACTGGTTGGCCCTCAGCAATCTGCAGCTTCTCCGCTGCCAATTTGACAACGGCCTCGTTTGGAAAGCTGCCTGCAGCCAGCCCGGGGTTATCTCAGCAACTTGGAAGCCTCACAGAGCTGCAAAATTCTGAGAAGCAAGCCTTCCGATATTCCATCACAAACCAGCATAAGAAAATCCGTTGGTCCACAATCGAACTCCTGGCACGAAATGCGGCGCTGCGGCGACCATAGCAGTGAGGTTGCATCATCAGCCTGAAGCTCGGGGGCACAGCTCACCGGGTGGTCCTTCGGGCTTGGACCTGAGACAGTGCTGACAGACCACACGGCATAGCAAGCACCTCACGTTTTGAGCCTCGGGCCTCCAGTGTTCTTGTGCTGCGCATCGCCGAAGGCACGGCTAACGGCCAAGTCTCCATTCACCCGTGCCACTCCCATTACCTGCATGCCATCCATCCATACAGAGGGCCCACATTATTTCAAGAACGAGTCCTACTGTGGCAATCTAGGGTCGGGACTTCCTGCACGTTACCGCCAGTGCGCTCAATCCGCGCTCTTTCGCTCGCAAGGTCTGGCTTATGGTCCTCACACGTATGCACTTCGCGGAAGCGGAAGTTACACAACAAGACTTTTCCTGGGCATTGCAGTCGTGCAGTCTGCCTACCGCGCATTTCATGGTATCAGAGGTCCGTGGTGAGGCCACGGTCGGTTCCAGGCCCAGGGAAGATCGAACCATCAGCCCGCCCCAGAAGCACACGGCTATCGCCAATGTTGCCCACTCGGAGGTGATAATCGCCTGATCGGTTAAAAGTTTTTGACTGCATGGCACCGAGAGGAGCAAGATCCCTCTCATGAGCACAGCATGGCAGCTATGGTGCCTCCAGGCGTGCTTGGCGCTTGAACAATGACAAACGTTCCTGTCGATCCGCTAGGCTGGTTGGAGTCGAGAAACTCCTTGTCTAAGCGGAATGCCTGTCAATGCTCCAGGAAGCAGCTGCTCAAGACGCACTCCAACTTCAATACCTTGCTTCCCCCCTTGCGCAGACTGGGGCGGCGGCCAATTCTGTAACAGCTTCGTCACTTTCTGGCATCCCACTTTTTGCAAGCTCTTCGTTGATGCGTCTGGCTATGAAACCAGAACACTGGTCACCTCCGTGACCATCGAAGACTCCGAAAAAACCCCAGGTATCTTGGGCATAGATGACGTGGGCATCCTCCATGCTCGGTCGCCATCCGTTCATCTCTGCAAAACCAACTCGAAAGGCCGTGCCGCCAACTCGCCTTGGCACAGCGCACGCATGCGAATTTCAGCTAGCAGCGGAAGCTTCTGGTTTCAAGCCAGGGCACTTGACCGCCACCGAAGTGACGGCCTTTGGCAAGCCCTGCCCCATATTTTGGAGGTGGCAGCTGCCTTCCGTGTGGCCCTCCTGCCAGTGAACAGCAACCACCTCTATACTAATCCTTTCTGCGGGACTCCGCTGCGCCTGCAAACTCTCTGTTGTTGGGCCGGGCCAGCTGAAATCCGAAATGCCACAGACATGGTGAAAAGGATTCAGAAAGCCAAGCAGGCATGAGTCGATCTGTGACGCGTTGTAACTGGGAGCGGAATCTGGTGGTCTCAGTACACGGTGCTTTTCTTACCACTGCGCGCTCAGTTCTCTGTCCCACTCTGTTCCACATCATGTAAAAAATGCTTGGAGGCTGTTACGGGCGCAGCCTTGCGCACCTCCTGCGTCGGGTCTGCGCTCATCGTGATGAGCACGGTGAAACCGTTTGGCCTCTGCTTCTTGCAAAGGCCAAGACCATCTCAAGACAGCCCCTGGAACTCGAGCCTTGGTCGCACGAACTCGCGTCGCCCTCTTTCGCCCGGCCTCTTTGGATCTCTTTTGCCTCCTCAGAGCCAGGCCTTCTATGTACAGGCCAGGACAAGGCAAGGCCGTGCGTTTCTCTTCGGACGGTCCAGGCACCTGCGACGCATCTGCGAGGGCGGGAAGAGAAGCGAAAGCCCAAGAGCCGATATGATGCTCTACTTCGAATGAACTCCCACCCTTCAAGAATGTATTGCCATATCTTCAGAGGTCTTGTCCTAATGATTTGACGCTGGATGCAGGAGGACGGACGGGAGAAGCAGGTGAGGGATTGAATCAAAAGCCCAGCATTGGAGCAGGTATCTCGCTCTATATGCATCTCGGCGTGACAAAAGGCCCAACAGGAAGCTTCCTGGAGTTGCGACAACCAGATGCTGCATGTAGCGTTCGAACTTCAACCGCAAGGCGAGCTCCGTGGCCCTGACAACAAAGGTCTTACCTCAGCCTGCAGCTGCGTTCCGCATGCGACCCAGCGCCGCCCATTCCTCAGTGCCCAAAACATTATCCATGGTCCAAGAACTCGAATGCTGGGCTCTGGCATCGTCGCGATCGCGGCCTCGGCCTTTGCCACGGTCCTTGCCTCGGAGATCGAAGTTCTCCGAGAAGCTCCGACATGACGTCCACTGAGGAGCGCCTTGGCCGCCGCCGCCGCTGTTCTTGCCTGCGCAGGGGCGGCTTCTCTAAGCGGCGGCTCTCCAAGTGTCCCTGCGGCCAAGCGCGCCTTGGCCCTTGTTGGCCCCGCGGCCTTGAGCACCTGAAGAAACTATTTGCTGGACAAGACAACTCCAGACATGACCACTTCTCCGAAGCTCGGAGCCTTTTTTGCCACCCCAAGCCTTGCAAGCAAAAACCAGCAAGGCATCAGAACGCGGGCCCCATGCAAAGGTGCAGTCGATCGGGATTCCAGCATCTCCACCTTTCCATCCACTGCCTCACGAAGTACTGCAGCGACGCAGCCCTATACACAGCTGACCCGCAGCTTTCCATGCATCCGTCCACCCTGCCTTGATCGTCTCCATACCGGTCCTCGTCCTCCTGAATTGTGATGCAACTCGCGCAGCCCTTCCTCCTCCTAGAATCGAAGCGTAATTGTGCGTTTGCACATTCAGGGAAAGACTTGTGCCAGCATACTGCGCAACGAAACTGTGGCATTGCCGGCGTGACGCAACGGTCCCACATGCGTGGTTGTGCTTTACCCCCTCCACCGCTTGGCTGCTAAGAAAAGCAGTGCTTGCAGTGCAAACACTGGGTACTCCGAGCCCTTAACTTCGACTGCACACGCAGGCACAAGCACGGAGCCGGGCCTCGTTCCAAGAAGGGCGGCCGCCTGGCACTGAGGTCTGCTGGGGCCCAAACATCTCCTGCAAAGCTGATCCTGCCTTGGAGCATGTTGCGATCTTCATAACCCGTTCCACCTTTTCCTGTGGCACCACTGCATCCAGTGCAGGCTCCATGGCCACCTCCACAACCCTGTCGACAGCCACCAGCAGCACAGCCACCGGCACAGCCACCGGCACAGCCACCGGCACAGCCACCGGCACAGCCACCGGCGCAGCCACCTGCGCAGCCACCTGCGCAGCCACCTGCGCAGCCTTGACAGCCACAACCGCTGCAACCCTGGCAGCAACCTCCGCCAGCCCAACACCCACACCCTTGCCCAGGACAACCCTGGCATGCTTGATAGCCTTGACAGCCCTGGCAGCCTTGGCAGCCTTGGCATGCCTGGCCCTGACACCCTCCGCAGCCATAGCCACAACCCTGGCAGCCCTGGCAGCCCTGGCAGCTTCCACATCCACAGCCACAACCGCCACAGCCTGCGGAAGAAGCACACAGCACTCTGTGCGAGTGAAAAATACGCTCGGCTTAAATGAAACTTGCACAGAGGCTCAGCAAAGACTAGTACCAGAGCAACTTAGCTTGCATTGCAAGCTGCCGACAAAAAACACGTGCCTGCTCCCGATTGCTGCTGCTGTGCCATTTGCTGCTGCATCATCTGCTGCTGCATCATCATCCTGCCATGCAGGAGCTGCTAAAAGGCTTCAGACCACGAGATGCGTCGAGGCCCGGAGCGCTGCTCACCCTCCCCCCGTGTCACTCATGCCAGCCGGACTGTTGCTGTTGCGGGCTCATTTGGCTCATCCACCCGGAGTTCATGGGCATCATGGCCTCGAAACACAACTTCGACTTCGAAAACAAGAGGATTCACAAAGACACTGCACAGCCTGTGGACTTCCGTGGAGCTGCATACCTTGACCCCAAAAGCAATCGGAAAAAGAGACTCTTTGGGGGTTCCTCTCTCACTTTCTGCTTCTTCTCTGTCTATTCTCTGTCGCCTCCGTAGGGAGCACCATATTGCGGCTGGCCTCGGCTGCGTCCGCTCTCAGGCGTGAGGCGCGCTTGAGTTCTGCGGAGGCCCAGGAGGCCGAGGTCCCGGCCCATCGCCGGCCTCACCAAAGACGAAAGGAGGAAAAACACCCCTCGCTCCTTTGCTGCCAGATTCTAGGGCCGCTACGGTGGCTGCAACCTTTCATGGGTAACGCTCTGGGCTTCGCTTGTACAAGATTATCTGTGCGACCTCAGACCTCAGATCCTACACGCCCCGCGCGTTTACAATCCCATTTCTCAACTTGCTTACTCAAGCCACCATTCCAAAACCACAGCACGCAAAGCAACTACCGAAATCCGCACAATAATCCATCGCACCACCCAAAATCAAAGCAGCTGACTACAACCCGAAACAACATCCAAAACACCATCCGAAACTAAGAGCACAAACAAACATTCCCTAATGAGATCTGGTGTATGACCCCGCAGAGATACATTCCCTCATGCCAAAATTGCCATTCTTGACGGATAGACGCGGTGACCCTGCAACTGGAAGAATTGCATGACAGGTTACTACAGATTACAGTTGATAGAACGGTTATTAACAGCCTGGATGAAGAAATAACACAATTGAGGAAAGGGATGTCCAAATTTAAAGGCCGGGGAAGCGAAAAGTCATTGAGAACATACCAATTCACAAAACGTGCCTGCCTACCCTTGAGGAAGCAGCTGAAAAGAAGTAAAACTGAATGAACGAATGGAAAACACACAGCGAGAATCCATATCTTGGAACTCAATACACGACGTGACCTGTAAAAGTTAAAAAGCGAAAAGCAGAGGTTAATCATTTTCAGAACAATAACAACTTTCATAGGGGCGATAAGCGTATGCCTTGTATTTTCGTTTGGTCTGCTTCCGCTGGCAATATGATCGTACACAACCATATCAATGACTAACCTCAGACCCAGCATCAAAAACATGAAAAACTACTTCCATTACAGGCGCCTTCGTTCAACTCATGAACAAGAACTCTGCAGTCCATGGATGAGGATACTTAAGGTAAAATATCTGATTTAAACCTGTAGTTCAAAAAACATTTAAGAAGTACTAACAAAATACGATTGAATAGTTAAATGTGCAGTCATGATGAACACGAGATAATATTAATGAGTTCTTGAAGCACATAGAACATGCTGCACTTAAAAAGGAGCACGAAAGATTATTCGTAGAAGCTGGGAGTATTTATTGGGAGTGAGCGGAATAAAGACAAAAAAACGGTGTGCCAGTCAAAAGCAACCGAAAAACTTCAAGAACAAGTGCTTCAAGGAGTTGTTGATACCCGCCACTATTATGATAGAATCCAAAAAGTAAGTTGTAGAATGAATTGAAGCAGCGCTACGAGGAAAGTGTGAGAACTTGTAAGCGGAATTTATGAACCAATAGACGTCTATGACAAAAGGAAAGGATAATGACGGTATAGTGTTTCACTAGTTGCTAAGTTCAGATTCTATGTAGGGGTGGCGAGGCTTGGAAGCTTGCGAGCAGGCTTACGTGATCTCCCAATTCAGGATTGTGGGTTAAAGGTGTTGAGGGCATTTTCTACTAGGAGCGGTACGCCAGACCTTGTTGAGAAACAGATTTTTGTAAGATCTGTGCCGGTGGCCTTCTTTCTTAGATTGTGCTTTGGATCTTGGTTTGGAGTTTGGTGGATGGCATTGTATTGGGGTCATGTGTAACTAAAGTGGGTCTAGCCTATGCTTGCTATATGTACTTGTGCTCTTGGTGTGTGAAGACAAACCATGCATCTTGCATTCCTGCGAGCAACACCTGCTAGGGCCACAGAACATGCGGCAGAGTCGCCGAGCCAAGGACGGCCCGTTCCGAACTCCCATCCCTGCTTTCTCCAAGCCACCATGAACCCGTTGAGTGCGGAATAGCAAAGCCTCAACTAGAATTGGAGCGACAGGTTACAAAAGCCTGGCATCAACAGCCTCAGCACCCAAATGCAGTGATGGACGACGACAGATTAAACGAATCAGCACACTGATGGTCCGATGGGCAGTGTACCCTCAAATCCGCAAAAAGATCAGTGCTAGCACACTGGAGATCTGACCCATGTTTGCGCACTGTGAGGATCCCATTGCATGACTGAGCTCTACTGTAGCTGCTTTTTGCAATGGGCAGCAAACTAGCAAACAGCCAAGGCCATGGCACAAAATCGCAAGCAATGAACATAATAATAAGTATTCGACGAGCAGAAGGGCCTTGCATGGGGTTACATTATGGGACACCCTTCATGCTGAAACTCTAGACTCTAGACTCTAGATGCTTCTTGTTTAAGCCCCAACCAGTACAATTTGTCCTGAAAATGGGTTGGGGTCACGATGCAGTTCGGATTCCTGGAAGCCAGTCTGGAGCTTTTCGGAAACCACGAAGGATTCGGAAACCAGAAACGGATCAATCACAAAGCTTGAGACGGATCTTCCGGCAACAACAAGCACGACGATAGCAACGATGTGATCAACCGCCATAGGCCATAGCCTAATTACAGGGCGTGCTGTGCGGGTTTGAGAACTGTGATCAACCGCTTTTGCCCGATGGGGGTGGCGAGTTTAATAATTGTGATCAACCCTTTAAGAAGTGTGGTCAACCGTTGTCGCCTTGTGAGGGGGCGACGTTTAAAACTTCTGATCATGAAATCATAAGAATTGAGATCAGCCGCTTTCGCCTAATGGGGGTGGGTGTAAGAAACACGATCAGCCGCTTTCGCCTGATGAGACGGCGAGTTCAAAATGTGATCACCCCCAACCCCCTCGCGCATTCGCCTACTCCGGGGGCTTTAAGAAACGTCATCGACCGCTTCGCGGCACACAGCCGAGTCAGCATCGCGTGACAGGATCACCGCACGGCACAGAACCGAGTCTGGGTGGTGTGAGAAGACAGACACAATTCAACGGGGAATAAATTCCAACCAGTCAGCACATTACACACGGAGTTCTCTTTTTGGCAGTGGCGGATGAGCCAGAATGGAAATCACCCAAAAGAAATCGCAGATCATATCAAATGCCCCCGACAGACAGCAGAACGATGCTCCGCACCGTCCGCATTAAAACCGAAACACCCACGACGTCTGGTCCGGTGAATCGGCAACCATGAAGCTGAAAATCTGATGCCTAAAGAAACAGCAAACTGCATACGCGGAGCCTCCCGGACTCCATAAAGAGCAAACGCAAAAGCCGGGCGTCATGCACCAGCAGTTCCGTCAGCCAGCCGAGAGCGGTACTTTGATTATATATCAGGGAGAGGAGGGCGGGAGCAAAAAATTCACATTAACGACCCGTGTCGATCACAGACCCGCTCACGGCTGCAGTCCGGACATAGACTCCAAAAATATTGCTTGGTTCTTGCTAGGAAGAATTTGTTTTCGGTGCAAAAGCCAAATTTTTCTTGAAAAATAGCTTCGTGCCAAAAACGAACTATTTCCGAGGAAAAGATGGATGAAGATCGGCTTGGTGCTGAAACCTTTTCCTAAGGGAAAAATGGTTTTGGGTCGGAAAACCAAGTTTTTCCCTGAAGAAAACCAAAAAAAACCTCCCAAAAGATGTTTTTTCCCTGAGACAACCACTTGGCTTTCGGAGCAAAAACCAAACTTGCGCCCAACGGGGGGGCGGGACGAAAGCTCACAAACTGGGGGCAAGCTGCGCGGGGGCGGAAGAGGACGGAGATGGGCAATACTCCTTTTCACTTGCCGCTCCCCCACCCCGCCCCGGCACCAGGCATAAGCATCATCGGGGTCCCTTCTCCAAAAAGACATCTCTCCTGGAGTCCTGCGTGCAGCACGAAAACGAACCCGCGCGGCCCACGCCTGAAACACCTC